AAGGGCCTTCTTTTGTAGACATTAAGTGGCAAATGCTTTCATTCAAATAACCTACTCAATTGCTGACGTCGATCGGATTACGTTGTTACACACTGGACTGGCCTGATCTTCGAGGGTTGTTTCCTTTGTACTTTTTGTATGGTTTAGGTTTTCGAACGTTACAATTTTAAAATAGTTGATCGAATTTACTTGAATTCATCTGGTCTGTATAGGCTTAAACCTGCCTAAGTCGACATATTAGAGAATACAGGGGGCTTCCAACAGATGCCCGTTAAATGAGGTTGGATTTTCATGGGGAACGTTGGATGTTCATAAGTTGCCACCTGTAAAGTTAATCGATCTACAAAAAGGACAACGGCTGTCGTCCCGTTGAGCTTTACGCCTCCATCTCAGTTGGAAATGAAATGCTCCTAATTACATGAATTGTACATTAGATCGAAACTTTTTTGCTTGGGAATATTCCGTTGAAACCTCCGCTAAAATGGGCGCCTTATTTCATGCTAATCTTATGCATACATAAGAATTCGCGCCATAAACAGAGGACTAAATTCTACAGCTTGCCTTTGGTATGATTCAAGCCCTTTCTGTTGGTCAACGTAATGACCATTTTTTGACCTTGACAATCACGGCACTGTGATTGGGGACTTGGTGTTTCACTGTGCTCATTGTCGTTGATCTGGTCACGTTGGTATTTGTGGTCTAAAAATTGCATCCGCTAATCTGCTCGCTTACTCGACCGCTGCTTATTATAATGAACTTACTTCATCAGGTGTTCCAGTGAGAGGTGCCGTGATCTCCGCTGTTGACGCTGCTGCTAGAATCCCATGAGCAACTAACGGAATAACCCCAGCCAAACATTAAAAGTTCAGTTTCAACCACTGTCAGGTCGCACGAAGATACATGGAAAGCCCACGAGCCAACTGCAAGATCTGTCTTAAGAATCTTGTCGCTTAGCAACTATCTAGCTCGAGAGCGCTCTCGTTTTTTCTGACATAATTTCATATTCCAGCGCGCGAATAGCAGCATTAATTGGCACAAATTAGTAAATAGCGCAGGATGTAGACCGCGAAAAGTAGGTTGTTTGAGTCTCATCGCCAGGAAGGTTCAAATCGATACTTAAAATCTTAGTCAACTCTGGTGATTAGTACTGTCTTGGGGATAGTGGACAATCAAAATATCTGACACGTTTTTTTCGAGACGTTTAAGTTGTACGTGTGTTGAACGCGTGTGTCGGCTAAGGGAAGGGTTTATCGTGTCTTATGACCATCGAACATTCTATGCAGATTAAAGATGTCAGTTCTATAAAAAGAACAACAGGCATCAGTCCACACCAGATATATTTTGAGGTAATTTTTGAACCAACTGACTCAAAAACTTGAGTGGTATATGAGTAACCTGAACAATGTTGCAAGTCCCCATCTCCTCAAACGGTGAGCCCGTTTAGCGCAGAGGCTATCTAACCGTCAAGTGCTAGTAGTATGACGTCATAAAAAAGGGTGACCACGCCGAAGTAGTTACTTATCCTTGCTTACTGACGGCAATGCTGCTAGGAGGGGATACGCAGAGCGAATGCCATTGAAGGTAGGTCTGTTGACTGAACACTACTAATGAAGTAAACATAGGATTGGCCTCCGGGTAAATCAGTTGTTAGTCTGCCCGGTGGTAGATGCACTTTTTTGTTCGTCAGATGGATCAGTTAGAGTCTCATTTCTGTCCTTTCAGAATCCCCAATGTACCGTGGTTGTGTTATCTCATGGAATATTAATCGGAGTTCTAAAA